GCACAGCACGTCCCCTCCCCGAACAGGAGGGCAAGGACTCCAAAAAACCAGTGCACTGAAATTACAAACCAAAACACCAACTATTTTGGGACTCACATCGAAATGGCAACATATGCTACACGTTAAACATCAGCCCCTACCAAAAGCAGAGCTATTTCTGGGCCCCTCCTGAACGGCACTGAAGATGCAGGAAGAGCAGATGCCTCCCTACCTCCTTCTGGAAGCTCCCTTGGAGGTCCATCTGCAGGTAACAAAGTGCTGGCCGGGAAGATGCCACTAGTTGGGCGTCTCACAAGGTCTCTGGGAACCTTAAGCAATATTTTGAGGGGAGAGGGCTCTTCCTTGCTGGCATTTGGCCTGTGCCTGACTTTCTGCAAGGGTTTGTTTGTGTCTGCGCCGTAATAGAGTGTGGGTTGTATTTCACCACAGCGATTTCGTTCGCAGCTAGTAATTGCTGGTTAAATCTGGTCAAATGATGGTTGTTAGCAGGGCCTGTTTGAGCACAGATAACCTCAGATATTATTCATGCAGAGGAGCAGTGGGGGCCGGGGTGTGCTGGGATATCAGCACTGCTGGGGAGCCGTAATCGGCACAGCCTGGAATAAGCTTCTTAGGATTATTTAGCCAAGTTTCCGAGTTATCATTATTATTATTGCTTTACTTAGCAAATGCAAAGGATATTTAACCAGGTAGGGTCTGCAATCCACTCGATGGGCTCAGCCAAGCCTCCCCAGCAATCGAGGGCAGAGATCTTTCAGGGGAAGCAGCCTGGTTGCCAGTAGCTGTGCGTCAGCCAGGAGACAGTGAGTGCCCTGAGTGAGCCAAGGAGCCAGGCACATGTTGCTTTTCAATTAACCCCCTTCCCATGCACACAGCCCTGCTGGAGCTAAGCTCATTTGAGGGAGAAAAAAATATGTTTCATACCCACCAGCCAGGGGAACTGAAGGCAATGTAGGCACCGAGTCACCCCAGAGGGATGGAGGGGTCTCTCCCCAGCAGCGTTGGCAGAGTGTTGGCACCCCCTGACAGTGTTGATATCCCACATTCCTGCCCCTGCAACCAGATTGGGCTGGTGTTATCTGCTGGCACCCTCTCATGCCTAAGGCTGTAGGTACTTGCAGTGGCTTAATGCAGGTTTAGAAATGGTTGGGAAAGAGCAAAACGCAAGCCAAGGCTGCGCAGGCTGGTGCTGCCCTGTGTCACCTCCCTGGGGGGCTGACAAAGCTCCCTGCTCCCAGCCTGCAGTGAGTCCCTCCAAGTTCAAGGATGAGTGAGTTTCAGAGGTAGTTCCTCCAGATGGAGGCTGTAATTTGGCATCATCTCTCTGTGCTCTCTCCAGGCTCTTTTCCAGCAGCACCAGCAGAGCAAGGGGGTTCTGTGAGATCCTTTGGGTTTAAGCTGACAAAGTATTAAATAAAGAACTGGTGGGTCAGTCACTGAATCTCTGGTAAGTGATGGGATGTGCCATCCTGCTGCTGTACTTGTCATTTGGAAAGGAATTGATCAAACTAGAATCAGCCCCTGTTCTTATTGATTTAAACCTGGAACAGCAGAATTTGATGCTTAGGCGTTTGAAAGAAAATTGTTTGAAGTGTGTCCTGGGGACAGCCTGTGTTTTTGGATGCACGTTTAATCGGTGTGCTGCTGTTTTGTGGGCTGTAGGAATATTCCTAATATTCCTCCTGTTTGCAGGGCAGATCCCTGCTCACAGGAGGAAGCCAGACTGTGGCCTGGCTCTGCACAGGCTTTGTCTGGATGTGATTAAACCTCTGCTTGTGCCCCTGTTCAGGACAACATTTAAATTAAACTCTGGGCTGTCCCTGGTCAGGATGCTTTTGTGAGCCTGGGATGGAGCTGGAGTGATGGTTCCTGCATGTCAGTTGTGCTGAGCTCAGGATCTTGTCACAACTTTCAGGCATCACTGGGAGGAAACACAGCTTTTGACAGGGACAATGTGCTCTTCTCCATCATCCTGCTTTGATGCTGTCTCTCTGATGGCCACCTCCACCTTCTCTGGAGAATGTCCCTCCTTCATGCAGGGATGGGTGTCCCTTGGCTTTGCTCCCTGACAAGCAGAGCTGTGGGTCCAGCTGCAGAAATTGGCACTGTAATGTTTAAAGTCTCTCTCTTCCCTCCTGAGGGGCTGGTGAGGAATCCACGTCCTCCTTTTCGGGGCAGCAAAGGCCACGTGCGTGGGCACTGCAGCAGCTCAGAACCGCCCTGGCAGAGCTGGGGATCAAATCAAGTCACATTCCAGGGCATTAGACAGACGGTGGGAATTAAAAGCTTTACCTGGAAACTGGCTTTGTATCTCCAAGCCCTGCTTTTGTCTCCCAGCCCAACTCTCTATTTTTGTCCCTTTTACCTTCCATGTTGTCATGTGTGGCAGGACGTGGTGCCTGGCTGTGCAGCCAACCCCCGACCACATTTGGGGAACCCTTGGAAAATATGGGGCTTTGCTGCCCAGGAGGAAACACTCAGGCAGTATGAGAAGGTAAAAAAGAGTAGTTTATCAAAACCGAGCTGCTTTGGGACTCATTAAAAGCTAAGGAAAGGCTTCAGCTGCTTTCAATAGGCTTGGGATCAGTCAGGGACTAGAAAGTCCCGTCTGGGCTATTAGCAGTAAATCTTGGGTTTGTTTCCTTCAGTCTATAAGGCTGGGGACAGGGTCTCCCTTGGGGGCCACTCCTGCCCTGATTCAGGGAGCTTTGTCTGCTTCAGTTCTGACTTTGCTTTGCCCTTCGTCTGGTCCCCTTGTTGCTCTTCTGCATCCCTGGGTGAGTTGAGCACCCCTGAGTTGGTGCTGCTGGGCAACCTGGTCCTGGCTGTGGGCTGTCGGTGCAGGAAGAGAAAGAGCTCAGAGTTTCACCTTAATTCCCAGAGCCTTGATTTTCTGACCTGTAAAACAATCCTTCTCTATATTGGTCTTGTGCTCTTTGAGGAAACATTTGAAATGACGACGCTTTTGTAATGGTAATAACGACATTAGGCCCTCATATGTAACCTAATTTTATTTATTTATTTGTTTGCTCTTTTCTTAGTGGAAATTGCTCCTTTTTTTCTGGGCATCGGGCCCAATTTTTGCTTTGTTCTGAGTCCACACCACATCTGGATGCTGCACCCAGGCTGCTCCAAAGCCAGAGGCACCTCTTTGTGCTTTCCGTGACATTCCCACCTATCATCAATCCACCTGCGATATTTTCAGCCTTGGCATGCAAAGCAGGTGGCATTTCCATCTGAATTAATGTCCTGGGAGTTGTTGGATGTGGGAAGGGGGCTAAACTGTCTCGGGCTGGATCTGCTACACCAATCACCCCTGCACAACAGGTAGGAGCTACTTCGGAGTGAAAACATGGCAGGGAGAGGAAGGAGTGGTGAGCAGTCTCCTGCTTTCCCAGGTCATTAGAGCATCCATGTTCATCAGGTCTGGGTACAGAGCAATGACAAAGTTTGGATGCTTCAGGAGAGAAACATTTGCTTCCCAGTGAGAGTAAATTAGGTTTGCCTAGTGTCAGTGTGTTATGAGTCAGGGACATGCATTAACATTTACCAAAATCTGAACGAAAATTGAACTCCGCATTAGGCAAAAAGGTTGGGTGTCATTTTCCTGGGATTTGGGGAAAATCCTCTGAAGAACAGAGCTTTGTTTTTAATAGACACCTGCGTGCCAGCCTCCAGGAGACTGCAGCTCTGTGTGCATTGAGAAGGGATCTGTGTGCTGTCAGGTTACCTGGAGGTACCAGCTGTGAGCAGCTGGACATGGTGCTGGGTGACCAGAGCACACTGTGTGTGCCAGCCTCATGCCAGACCTCCCACTCCTGAGCCAGCTACACTTGGGAGCTGCCTCTCTAAAATATTTTAGACACATTTTTCTGGGCAGGATGAGTTGCTGGGCAGCATTTTGCACCAAGTTCTCACAGCGTTTCTCTTCTGGCACTCCTTGCTCAAAAGTCCACTTCCAGTAGCTTGTGGAACCACATATTTATTGATTTGAGCACAGGAAGAGATTAATAAAAACAGCAGTTTGAGACCAACCTACCTGAGCAAACCACAGCTCAGCATTTTCCAGGGAGCTTGCAGCAGGCTGCAGGGAGCCTGTCCCTGTCCTGGCTAGTGATGGGGCCCTGGCCCTGCCTGGGAAGGTTACTGGAGGGGTGCTGAGCATGGCCACACTGGCAGGGAGCCCTGGCCCAGCCCTTCACTCGCTCCTCTGCGATGCTCTACCTGCTGCATCGCTCCACGCCACAGCCGCACGCTGGCAGGGCGAGGCTGTGCCGCCCGGGCTGTGAGCAGGAGCCATGTGTTGCTTCAGTCCCTGGTGCTTTAGTTCCAGCCCCAGGGGCTGAGAGCGGCTCACCCAGCCCCGCTGGCCGGTGCTGAGCTCTGGAGGGGGCGTTGCTGTGGGCTGGGGGCAGCTACGGCAGCAGGGCAGCGAGTCCGGGCTGTCCCTGCCCCTGCGGGCCGTGGGGAGTGGGCGGCGTGTGACCCCTGCCCCTGCTCAGGATGCAGCACAGCACCTCACTGGCACAGTCTGCGGTGAGCCGGGAGGGCACGGGGGATGCCGTGGTCCCCGCGGGCTGCCACCATCCCTGGGGAGCTGCCACCATCCCTGGGGACCGGGGCAGCCCTGCGTCCCTGTTCGCTGCACGCCGGGATGCGACCCGACAGGACGATGGCTCCTGACACTGCGTGGTGACCTCTATCCCCCCGGAGGGGTCTGGCAGGGACCAGCCCTGCTTGGGCAGACAGATGGGTCGGAGCCCACCTCCCCACACCCCATCACCCCAAGTTCTGCTTGGCTGCCCCCGGGGCTGTGCCGGGGAAGGGGCGGGGGGCTGGCTGCCCACGCCGGTGGCCGTGCGGCCGGGGCGGCAGGCCGGCCACAGCCCTCATTCCTCCGCTGCTGGGCACCGCTTTGTTGCTAGCTGGTGACATCACCCGAGAGCCCACCCCCTGCCTCTTATCCGTCTCTGTGTCTCGCTCATTTATTCACAGGCAGCGCTGGCAGGATCAGGGGCTGTGCGAGCGCCAGGGCAGGCGGCAGCAGCATGTGTGCGGTGTCTGGGGCTCAGGGCGCGAGAACCACGTAAGGTGCCCACCGGAGCCTCCCTCCTCACCCGCCTCCGCAGCCCCCCGCAGAAACTTCACGGCTCCCCCCACGCACGGTCCGGGCTTCTCCGGAGGGGCTTGGCACCGACAGCCGCATGCATGACACTCCGAAAAGGAGAGAAAATGACCATAAGTATCCAGGAGCACATGGCTATTGACGTCTGCCCCGGCCCCATCAAACCCATCAAGCAGATCTCCGACTACTTCCCCCGCTTCCCCCGCGGGCTCCCCGCCGCCGTCGGCCGCAGCGGTGCCCTGCGCCCCGCGGTCAGCCAGCCCTCCGTGAGCCCCGCCGAGGGACCCCGGGAAGACGATGAGGACGTGGACCAGCTTTTCGGAGCGTATGGCACGACGCCCGCCGAACAGCCGGCCAAGAGCCAAGCGCCCGAGGAGGTGGTGGACCCCGAGGGCTACGAGTCCGACGACTGCAGTAAGTTCCTAAGTTTCCATGGGAGTTTGCGGGGTGCTGAGGGCAAGGGTGGGTCTTAGGGCTGGTTCCCCATCTTGGTGCCTGAGTCGCGTGCCCTTCCCGGCTGCCAGCCATGCTGCCCATCCCTGGGATCACACTGCAGCAGTGAGAAGCCCCCAGCTTTAGCTGGGAAGGCTGTCACGGCACCGCTCCGGGGTGGAAGGGGGCCCTGGGAGCGTCCCTGCTGCAGCCAGGCTGGCCGCTGAACCCAAACTAGGGAAGTCTCCCAAGAGCCACCAGTTGCTGTGCTTTGCTGTTGTGGTTGGTGCACTTCTCTGCCTCGTCCCTGCTCGGCTCCGTGCGTCTGAAGGCTGCCAGCAGGGCTCAGACCCTTCGGTTAATCCACGTCGGTGGTGCAGGCTGCTCCAGCCACCCTGCTGATGAGCTGGCGATACGCTCCAGCATCGCCCGGCTCCACATCGGGGAGATTTGTTTGGAATGACATCCACCCTGGAGATCTCTGCCCTCTCCCTCGGCAAACTCTGGCATGTCATTCCTCCATTCCTCGCCCTCCAGCTGCAGGCAGAGCCCTGCAGGAGACCAGCGGGGGCTTTGGAACAGAAGGCTTTGGTTCTGGTAGATGCAGGTGCTTGCAGCAAGGGTTAACCCCTCCCCACCCAAAACGTCCTTCCCACCCGGCGCGGTGGAGCTTGCAGGCTGCAAGGCAGCTGCTGCCTGGCTCTGCCAGCCGCGGTGACTGGGATAATATGATTTCCCTTGGAGTCGGATAAAACCCAAGGGCTCGATTGAGCCCAACCTTCAGGGGCCAGATCCTGCGAGGGGCTGAGCACAAAGTTTGAAGCCGGGAGGTGCCGAGGAAGGGAGTGGGTGCTGCTGAGCAGTGCTGCGTGCTCGTCCTGGGGGAAGGAGAGGCTGAGCTGTTTACGGCCCAGCGCCGGGCAGGCGGTGGCTTTTTCCTGTGCAGAATGTCACAGCCCTGCCTCGGCCTCGCTGCCGGGCTCTGGGCTGGCCTGGGCTGCTGCCATCTGTGCCAGACCCTGGAGCGTGACCCCAAGGAGGGCTGCAAGGAGGGCTGTGCTGCTGCAGGGTGGCACAGCCATCCCCGTGCCCCCCTCTGCCTGCTGACCACCAGCTACAGCCCCAGGAGAGGTTGGGTATTGTGTGCCAGCCCCAAACTGATGCTCCCTTTCTCCCCATGCCGGTGTCAGGGTCATGCTCTCTGGAGAGGCGACAGCCTCGGCGCTCCCGGGGAGAACATCTCTGCTAAGCCGCGTTTGTCCGAGCCGGGCAGTTAGCGGTGACTTTAACCGGATTTGGGTTATTTGCTGCTCTAATTATTAGATCGTCTTTGCTCACTGTGGCGGTAGAAATGGGAGCAACTGGGCTGCAGGGCCAAGGGTGTGTATGGGAGCCGAAGGGCTCGGGGCCCCAGAGTGTGGTGTTTTCTCCAGGTGACTCGCATGGAAATAGCCCGGGGTGCTGCATTCTGCATTTTTCTGCCGGCAGTGCTGGCTGAAAGAGGCTCAGCTCCCTGCCGGGAGCGGGCGGGTGTTTCTCTCACCCCGGCTGGTGTTAGGAAGAGTGTTTGTTGCAGCGTAACAGGTGTCAGGCAAACTGCTGAGGCTCTTTTGCCAGATGTGGTGGGTTTTCGGCTGGTGAAAGCACAGCAGTGCCAGGAGCAGAGTGAGGAGGTGGGACTGCTGGTGTCACATCTCTGGGGACGGCACAGGATGGTCCCAGCCACCCTCAAGACACTGGTTGGCATAAGTGTGCAGGATGAGACTGTCACTCCCCCATGTTTAGCAGCCAAGTTGTAAAACCAGACAAGAGCTCCTTGTCCCAATTTCCCAGCTGGGGAGCTGGGAGGGGATTCATGCAGCCTGACTCGAGCCATCAGCTACTCTGGGGAGTGTTGTTCAGCTCCCCCACATCCCTGGAGGGTGATTCAGGGCTGCTGCATTAGTCACCTGCACTAAATTTCCCCTGGAGAACCTGTGTCTGCCTGTACATCAGGGCAGCACTGGGGTTTAGGTGGTGCCAGTCCGCTCGGGTGTCACACAGGGTTCAGGGAGGTGACTGAGGTCTCAGGGGATGGTGGTGTCAGATCTGAGTGCAGCACCCACAAATCAAGGTGTTGCTGGGCAGTGGCACATCTTGCCTCACTCCCCACAGATACTCCCAGCCCAGGCCCGGAGAGGTGCAGGGAGAGGGATTTTGCCATGGCAGGGTCCATCCAGAGGAGGAGGAGAGCTCCTTCCCGATTGTCCCACCTGCCTGTGGGTTTCCCTCCTCCAACACCAAGCGATGCTGCTGGCTGGCTGGGTGGGAGGAGGAGAGCTGCCCCTGCCTGGAGAAATGCAGCATTTGTCTGGGTTTTCCCAAGCTCGTTCCTACCTGGAGTTGCTGCTCCAGGCTGGTTTCTGGGTTTGCAGCAGCCTTTGAGGTGCCGCGGACACGTTGCTCCATCACCGCACCCATGCAGGGCAGCATCGGCAGGGGCTGGACCGGAGCTGCCATCCCTGCAAAACCTTCGGCACCCCAGCAGGGCTGTGGGGAGAGAGTAGGGTAGGTCCTGCCTGGCCCTGCTGCAACTCACCTGGGCTGGTACCCTGCGCCCCGTTCCTTAATCCTTTGCTGAGTTGTGCTCCGGATGCCATCAGCAATTCTTGGAGTGCCTACGGAGTCAGTGGGAGATGCCTTCTTCCGGATGGCTTCTCCCTGGGATGGGGCAGCCCCAGAGCAGCGCAGCCCTGGGAGAAGCATCAGTGCCAGCTCCCATCCAAGCAGGGTGGCCTGACCCAGGGGTTTGGCATCTGCAGGGAGCAGGGACATGTTGGGGGGCGGATGTGTGTGCGTGCATGGTGTTGGTGCTTTGGAAAATGAAGAATCCCCAGGCTGCAAGAGGCAGGTAGGATCGCTCCAGAGATGGGCAGGGACCCGGCTGAGGCAGGAGGACAGATGGTACTAGTTCATGGGAGGCTGATGCAGAGGCTCAGGCTGATGGCTCTGGGACACCTCTCAGCCAGCCTGTTGAATGCAGCGAGTGGCAGGGAGCAGGCAGGGCCAGGGAACAAACACGGCAGATAATGAGTGGAGACATCTGGGCTGGCTCTGGGATTACTGAGAAGTGCATGGAGCCAGCTCTTCCCATCAGACCTGCCAACAGTGCTGCTTGAGGATTTGCAGGGTTGTGCTGGGCACCTGCTGCCATCCCAGGACCCTTGGGAGACCCTGGGAGAAGGACTCATCACTGCCCTGCGCCTTCTTCATCCTCCATCTGCAGGGATGCTCTGGGACCAGAGCTCAGGCTGTACAGGACTCTCTTCCTGCAGTGGGTTTGTCCCCAGTGGAGCTGCTGAGGAGGTGGAATGAGACAGGAGAGGTGGGAAATGTGTATTTGGTGACAAAGGTGATTTGGCACTGTTGGACCAGAATTAGCATCTGCTGTGTGAGCTGAGAGGACCAGCCAGGATTTGGGGCTGGGAAGGGGGGGATTCACTCCTGCTGCCTTGGGACACTTGGCTGTCACCTCGTCTTTGGTTCCCCTGGCTGGTGCCCGGTGACAGCAGCAGCGTCCTGGCCCCTGGGGTCCCCAGCCACCAGAGATGCTTCCCACCCATTCGGGCAGCACACTGCCAGGGAAACTTGGTTTGGAAGGAAAATAAGCAAATGCCAGCTAGATGGCAATGTGCCACCTGCAAGGAGCTGGCTCTCGCCTCCCATCTCCCCCGATTTCACCCAAATTGCTGCCCCTTCACTGCCCGCACTTCCCCCTCCACAGCACCAGTGGGAATTTGTACCTGATGGGTTTTTAAAGGTCTCTCAAATCCCTGCATGAGCAGCACAGAGGGGGAGACACCGTCCCTATGAGGGAGCACTGCTGGGGCTTCTGTCACGGGGGACAGCGCTGGAGGGAGCAGCCATCCTCCTGTAATGGGCAAGCAAGTTTCCAGCCCTTGGAGAAATGCCCTGTTCCCTTGAGCTGCTGTTTGGCTTTGGAAAGATGCTGTGGTCACGCTGGAATTTTCTCCCTCCTCCATATGCGTTTGGCTCTGGGTTTTTCCGATGGGGACACAGCCTGAGGGCAGGGAGCTGCAGTGGGAGCTGGAAGAGCTGCCCCATACTGTTCCTGCCAGTGCTCCAGGGCTGTTCATATATGCACAAACCCAGCCAATTCCGTAACATGCCCAGTTGTTATTCACAGAGGAGCAGGCTCGTGAGCAGCTCTGGAGCTGCAGCAGCATGGAAACGACTTCTCCAAAGTACAGCTGAGAGGCCAGTCCTGGTGGCGGCGGCTCGTGACGCCTGCTGAGAGCAGCGCCACGCAAGTTATTTAGGAAGACTCTTATTTTGAGCAAAGAAGATAATTAGGCAGGCAAAGCCGTCATGGAGATATTAATTACTGACTGCTTGAAGACGTAAAGAGGAACATCTTAAGGGGTGCAGGGTTTGCAAGTCACCTGGCAGTGCTTTTGGCCAGACAGGGGGAGGGAGAGGAGACGGCAGGGGGAAATGTGCATTGGAACGGGGAGGATATTTACTTCTGAAATGCAGCTCTTTAGCATATGCTGCCACTGCTATTTATAAGCTTTGAATCGTCTTTTCAATCCAGAGAAGGCCAAAAGAAGTATTTCTTTTACTCAGGAAACTAAACAAACCACCGCTGATTTCGGCAGAGCCTGGATTGTGGCTTTGCCCACCAGACCACAGCCCGAGCTGCCTGTGCCAAAGGAATGTGTGTGGGTACTGGGCAGTGCGGAACCGAGGTCTGAGGGCATCAAGGAGCTTGCAGCCTTCCCAAGGGAGACATGGGGTGTTAACTGGGGTGACTCTGGATTAGCTCCTGTCTGGTTTCCTGTGGGATAGATGGGTATAGGGAAGGTGCTGGTGTGGGGGGAGCTCTCACACTTTCCCACTGGCCACCCCTTCAGTGGTCCAGGTGGAGGCTGCACATCCTGTGTTCCTGATCCCCCAACAAGCCTTCAGCCCCCGGAGATGCC